TGAAAGAGGTGACTGTTCTGAGTGCCAGGGGAAGTGAATTCCAAAGTTTGGGTGCAGTAACAGAGAAGGACCTGCCGCCCATTGAAGATAGGCGGAACCTAGGTACACAAAGAAGTTCAGAATTAGAAGACCGGAGTGCGCGAGAAGGTATATAAGAAGAAAGTAGGTCGGAAAGATAGGAGGGAGCAAGACCTTTGAGTGCCTTAAAGGTGAGCAGAAGAATTTTGTATTGCACACGAATAGATACAGGCAACCAGTGAAGATTAAATAGAATAGGGGTGATGTGAGCAGATTTTTTTGTGGAAGTTAATAATCTGGCAGCAGACTTTTGAATGTACTGCAGACGAACAATGGAGTGAGCTGGTAAGCCAGAGAAAAGAGCGTTACAATATTCAAGGCGGGTGGTAATAAATGCATGTACTAACGATTCCGCATCTTTTCTACTGAGGAAAGGAAGAAGTTGCTTGAAAGGAAGTTGAAAGGAAGAACATTTCTGTTTTACTCAAGTTCAGACTAAGAAAATTTGAATGTAGCCAATCCTTTAACTCACTGACACATGAAGATAAGGATGCCATCGAATGGGTAGAATCTGGTTGACAAGCAGTATATATCTGGATGTCATTGGCATAACAGTGGTAGTTAAAACCATGACGACTAATTATTTGGCCAAGAGGCTGAATGTAGAGGATGAATAATAATGGCCCGAGAACTGAGCCCTGGGGAACACCCTGTTTGAGCAAGACAGTGGGAGATTTGGAATTGTGCAGTGAGATGAAGTATTGCCTATCTGTGAGATATGAGGAGAACCAGGATAATGCAGAACCTGAGATGCCAACCTCTGCAAGGCGAGATAATAATATCTTATGACAAACAGTATCAAAAGCTGAGCTGAGGTCAAGTAATAAAAGAAAGTAAGAAAGGATGTAAAAGTATGGTATTTGGGGGAAAAAAGCGCCCCTGCTGTTGGGGCTAAAGGCACAGTAATTAACATGATAATTAATAGATGGCTGACTTTTAAATTTGTTGACATGACATGGTTAGATTCAGATGGTAAATATCATATATTATGTTGGGTGTCCATATTAGAGATAATCACCATGTTTAGAATGAAACCATCATATTTAGAAACATGATATTAATCATATCATATAATAAAATATAATTTGTTGTTACTACTGTAAATATATATTCAATTATTATTGGATCCCCTTCAATACTTTCAGAATCTTTACTTATTAAAATGATTTTGTTTCTGTATTTTAAAATATATATTTTTATATTAACATTTTAATGACAGTATATTTATTGAACAAAAATTAATTATTTTATTTTTCAAAATAAGCAGAAAATAGTACAAACTTTGCTAAAGTGATTGATTTGAACAAGTATTAACTTAGACATTTTTTTTTTAAACTGTATTTTAGCTAAAGTATTTGTATCAATACCATGTGCCTTTTACCCCGTGTGTGGACCCCTTGCAACCTCATACATTTTGTAAGATTTTTAAACAAAATAAACAACTTGAATGATTTATTTTCACACAAAATCTGTTGCTCCATTAGTTCAATACAACATATATATTTTTTCTGCATTTATACATTTTAGGCGCAGTGAATAGCTATTTTTTTCTTAAGGTGGGCCTTTAGCCCCGTTGTACCCTAAATGTGGAGATACAAGGTTTCCGCCTGACCGCAATAATATATACTTATAATAACATATTATTTTGACTTTTATTTTGTTGACCTAGCTAACATTAGCTAGCTTAAATAGAATATATCAACAATAAGCTATCTAATAGTATTGGACATGTTTCTCTGTCTCACTAGTAATAGATTTCAAGGTCAAGATAACCTTAGCCTAACATTCAAATATTATATCCAGTTATCTTCCACAGTATATCAAATATCTTCTGTGGTAATAGATGATAAAATAAGACTAAATGCAGCAATTATACAAAAGCAGCCATGTTGAGTTTCTGCAGTAAATATGTTCCTACTTGCAAAAAATTTGCAAATATCAAAGGTTTCGATATGGGTCATTTTTGACCCATGTGTGTAAAATTGATGTATAAACACAAAATCTGAGTTTTTTTAAAGTAAAGAAATGACAAATGAACATAAAGATTTGTGGAAATCAAAAACAAGACATTTAAAGTGCCCCTATTATGGATTTTTGAAAATTATCTTTCATGCAGTGTGTAACACAGCTCTAAGTGAATGAAGACATCCTGCAAAGTGTTAAATCTGAAAGTTATTGGCTCTCAAAAGAAAGAGTCGACTCTGAATCATTGAAACGAGTCATTTTTAAGTCCCAAGCCGTTTCATGTTGACGTCAATGTAAAACATTAGCATAATGCCTGCCCACTTGTTGGTCTTTTCGCGTTGGTCTGAATGAAAATGCTAATTCATTCTTTGCCACTAGATGCCGATTTTGGTGTGGTAAAATAGCTGTTTCCTCTGTATACAAAGCAGCACTGTGCTCACAAACGCTGCTAATATCAGGCATTACAGACATGATGAAATGAAAATGATACCAATCAGACCAATCACCGCAGATTAGCGTCAGGCAAAGGGGTTTGGAAAAATTAATCGTTGAACGAATCGTTTGGGAGTCGTTGAGCAAGTGAGGTAAAATAAATGCATATTAAAAGACAATGAAAGTGTTTTTTGACCTTGCATGCATGTGAACCTGTTGTTGGGGACTTCCAAAACTAAAATATGAACCTTTCATTACCCATAATATGGGCACTTTAACAAATACCTAGAATAATAAATGATAAAATGCATTTATTTAAAAGATTCAGCAAATAATCACTCAGACATGATTGAAATAACATAGGAAATGAATACGGGTCGTTTTTGACCCATGTCTGTAAAATTGATGTAGAAATACAAAAACTGTGTTTGTTTATAAAGTAAGGAAGGAAAAATAAACAAAATTATTTGTGGAAGTCAAAAACAACATTTAATAACATAGGAAATGAATATGGGTCATTTTAGACCCATGTTGTGCATTAGAAGGGCAGTGTCAAAAAAACTATTTTTATTCAAAAAGTAAGAAAGGAAAAATAAAAATAAGGATTTGTGATGATCAAAAACAAGTTAATTAAGGAATTCCTGGAATTCTGAATGATGAAATTAATTTCTTGCAAAGATATAGAAAAAATAAACTCAATCTGTTCACTTTAGACCCATATTGTGCATCAAAGGGTTAAGTCCAAACAATGTGATGTATATGTTGTCAGAGTTTATTTTTTTCATATTCTTAGGAAATTTGTTGACTTGCATCAAGCTTTTATTGCATCCACCACCTGATCCAGACACACCTGAAATTATTTCACTGATTTTATATATTGGAAATTAGTTAATATTGTAGGTCTGGTCAAGTTAGATATATTTGTCTTGCACATTGCATATACAGTATATGTATAATTAATCATGACAAAATAGAAAGTTTTTGTGTACCCTTGCTAAATGTGTTTAAATACTGATAAAAATGGAAAGTTGTGGCCTAATGGTTAGGGCGTTGGACTCGTAACCCAAAGGTTGTGGGTTCGAGTCTCGTACCGGCAGGGATTGTAGGTGGGGGGAGTGAACGTGGGCTCTCTCCCATGTTCAATACCATGACTGAGGTGTCCTCGAGTCACCATACTTGGCCACATATCACTTCACTTTTAAAAAAAGTATTTATCAGTGTTATAAGAATGCAAATGTAATGCAGAACATTGTGTTGGTAAATTTGCAAAGCAGACCAAAGCTTAGCAATCCATGCAGTGGGTCTCAAGCGAATTATTATAAATGTAAAAAAATTCATACATGAGTTAGTTTTAAGACACTAAAAAATACATATCAAAATCATGTATTATTGTTTTGTACAATGAAAAAAGTAATCAAAAGAGCAAATGGTCACGCTGAAAAAGGGGACATCTCGGCATTTATTTGATCAGCTATGTTGGTTGACGTGTTTAAAATTTTGATCTTTTGAATTAAACAGATGACATAGATCAAAGTGGATAGGCATGCCCAGTCATTGTCATTTAAACTTATGTGAGGGTTTCATAGTGATGTCTGTGATCTCTCTAGTTCTGCTTTCTTGGATTTGATGTCATAAGCCAGCACAACAACAGCAGCTGCAGCAGCCACACCCACCAGAGCACTGACAACCAATCGGATCACAGCTTCAGTAGAATCACAACCATGAACAGAGTCTGAGGGAAGAATAGAACAGAGATGGAATTCTGCATTTCAACAAACAAATATTGATATTTGAGTAATAAAACCAATTGCAAATAATAGACCTTAGGTTAGAAGACATGTTGAATTTAACATGGATGCAGGGTGATACACAGACATTTTTGGGTGCACATACTCAAATGAAAAAAAAAAATCTTAATTACTCAAACTAATTAACAATATACACTATATGGTCATCATATCAACAAATGAATTAATTCTAAATATAATAAAAAATGAAATGATACTAAACTAAAACCACCAGTAGGTGATGGCAAGTCTTAAAGAGTTAGTTCACCCAAAAATGAAAATTGGCTTGTGTTTTACTCACCCTCGAAGCATCCTAGGTGTATATGATTTCTTCTTTCAGACAAATCCAGTTGGAGTTATATTAAAGGGGTCATATGATGCTGCTAAAAAGAACATTATTTTGTGTATTTGGTGTAATGAAATGTGTTTATTCGGTTTAAGGTTAAAAAAACACATCAGCGTTGCATCGCGCCGCGTAAACATAAAACCATGTCTGCATTTGTGATCGGAGAAATGACAAACAACAAGCCCTACTCTACACTGCCCAAAAACTCGCTTTAAATAAAACTTGCTTTAAATATATAAAATATAAAAACTCTTTAAATATAAGAAACGTACTGTAACAACGTTCGTAGTCACGGGAAAAAGGAGGTGGGAACCGGCGAACATTTAAAGAAAGACTTTAATAAAATAAACAAACACAAAACGAAAGTAAAGCGGCAGCCTCTCGCGGACGACTGCCGCACACAAAACACAAAATAAAGTCCAGGCCTGGTCCTCTCTCATCCAACACGGTCGTCACTCCTCCCTTTTATCCTTCCGGAGCTCCTCCGTGAGACTCGAGACCGGTGAGTGGTGCAGGTGTCGCTCATTATCAATTACTCCACCGGCCTCGCTCCATTCCCACGGCACTCGGCCCCGCCCCCACTCGTCACACGTACTTACAGTCTTTGAGTCAGAACAGCAGCCATTGTAGTCTACTCTCCCAGGATCAGGAAACAGTCCTCCATAAAATGTGCTGCACACATCTGAATATTTGGGTTGAAGTGTTCTGGAACAGTGTTGTAAATACAACTTAACCACTGATTTCTAGTCGTGTCCATTTTTGAAAGGCCAAACAAAGTAGTTTCACTCGGCGGCTAGAGTGAACAGAGACCGGGGGCAAGAGTGAGGAACAGCCGGAGGGATAGAGTGAGCAGAGGCGGCGGATTCGACAAAGGAGCATCCGGAGGGCTTGCAGCAACCACATGTGACGACCCCGGGCTAGACTCCGCTTCGTCCATGGTGAAAGCCGATCTGGCGATCCACAGCGCAAAGCACGGATCAGCTCCAGGCATGACGAAGCCGATATCGTCCTCTTTTGGAAGGCCAAACAAAGTACTTTCGCTTTCACAACGAAACACAGCGCCTTCACGACATGGCGGTGGCGGCAACAACAATACTACAGCGAGAATAAAAGTTATGCCTTCTTTCTTTGCGTGAACATTTGGGCGGCGTTATGCAAATCTTCCCAGATAGTGAGGTAGACATGTGGGGGCGTGTTAGAACGAGCCGTTTTAGGTAGGCGTGGCTGACTCTTAACTTTTATAAAGAATATCTCTTTGGATTTGAGACTTTAGTCTTTGTAACTTTACAGATCTTCTTTATGCACCAAGAGCTTGTAACACTCCAAAGAGAAAGGAAAATTTGAAATCGCATCAAATGACCCCTTTAAATAAAAACTACAAATATAAAATAATAAAAAGGGGCTCTAGCAAAAAGGAGATTTATCTAGTCAGAGAGCAAAAGGGCAGGTGCTTTTGTCTATTGTGTGTGTCTATTTGAAGCTTTTTTTACACAAACGGTTGGTATGTTAACAAACAGCAGTACAATTAATTGAATGCACTGTACTTTAGTCTCTCACAGCCTTGTTTTCATTCCTGTCAAAAATTAAATATGACGCTACCCTGGCTATAGGGGATATACATACCTGAATATGTATGACAGAGATAGGGGTTGAGATGTGTAGTCTGATTGATTAATGAATAAGACACAACGCAGCTGTAGGTGTTTTTCTCCTGATATTCCACCTCCAGAGGTAGAGAGAGACTGATGCTGAGATCAGACACACTGATGCTGGACAATAAACTGTTTCCTTTGTACCAGGAGAGAGTCACATGACCCACATTCACCACTGAACACACCAGTGAACATGATGATGATGATGATGATGATGATGATGATGATGAACATTGTGGAGAGTCTCTACTGATGACAGGAACAGGCAGATGAGCTGAAGAACATGCAAACATAAACAGAAATCAAAGTATATTAATCAATCAGTCTGTACATTTATTAAGGATGCCTGTCGTATTTTTAAGGAATATCCATTCATTGTCCAAACCACTTAAGCCTTGTTTAAACTTTCGCATTACACCATACCGCGAGCCTCCGCTAAGTGTGCGCACCCCTCCCCAAAGGTGCTCGCTATTGTACTGTTCTTTAAAACGACATGGGGCGACTTGTAGTAATTGTCCTCTAAACCATTAGGAAACCGTGGTGAGAAGTAGTTTGCCTGTACAAAATTTGGTGTAGTTGTGGAGTTGATCAATGAATTCATTTTTTTAAGTATAAACTGATCAGATTGTGGGTCAATTTGGAGGGCGCATGTGAAAATTATGTTTTTAGTGCACTTAATTGCAACAAAATGGATGCACATTTCTGCCTCTGAATAAAAAAATTTAAAAAAGGAAATTGCATCTTGTCTTGCAATTCTGACTTTTTTTTTCTCAGAATTGTATCATATAAATTTGTATTTGCGTAATATAGTCAGAATTGCAGAATAAAAAGTTGTAATGAACTTTATTTTTTAAATCCTTTTGTAAATCTAAAATTTAAATTTTTAAGATAAGCACAATCAAACTATTATGTTCCCCCATCAATGCAAATGTATCTTTGTGTGGAAGTACAGCATCTAACATGCCACTGTTGTGTCGTTCAGTCATTAGGGATCATGATTATTCGTTGCGAGTAAAGAAAATCCCCTCAAAAAAACCCAAACAAACAAACAAAATCAATATTGGTGTGGCGTTTTCGAGATGGAAGGAGCTTTGCGACCAGCTTGACAGAGACTCTGCTCTCGCATTTGTTTTAATAGACAGTTAAGTAATAGTCATGTACGGATGATTTGAATAGACAACCTGTCACTCGTATGAGATCGACAAACAGCAAACCGCAACCATCCAACTATCCAATCAATTCCACATGGACAAAATCAAGTCCCGCCCTTTTTTTTTCACTCAGATACACATCACAGTAGTGAAGAAAGTGACTGTTGCAACTTTCGTTTCATGCCAACTTTAAAGCAATGCATAGAAATTTTGTCTGAGATGGCGCCAGTGCCACGTCATGTTAACATATGCCATCAAAGTACCACAAGAACAATTCAAGAGTAGTCGGCTGAGGGCCTGTCCCAATACCCACACTTGCAGTCTTGGCCACTTGAGAGTGCATGTAATTGGGTAGTAAAATGTAAAGTGTTGCACATTTTATTGGTGCAGGAATGAGTTGGTGTATTCTGTGAAACAGTAGCAACTGCTTTTTATCACTTAATTAAAAACATATCTGTGTAGAGACTACTGAACAGACATATTTTAAAGCACAAAGTATTGAACATAAAAGTGTGTAAATAAAGCTCTGTAAAACTTTTTTACAACACTATGTTGTTAACTAAAATGCACCGATGTAACGGCCAATAACCGTTATCAGCTGATAAAAAAGCAATTTTCTGCCCTATTGGCCATTGGCCAATTGTTTAAAAACAGCCAATGATCAGGGCTGATTATTCGCTGTCAAATTCAGCTTATCATCAATCACAACTCCAAGGTTTCTAGCTGTTTTTGAAGGAGTTATGGTTGATGAGCCTAACTGGATGGTGAAATTGTGATAACGTGATGGGTTTGATGTAACCACAAGCAGCTCTGTCTTAGCCAGGATGAGTTGAAGGTGATGGTCATTCATCCAGCAAGAAATGTCCGTTAGACATGCTGAGATGCGAGCAGCTATCGTCGGATTATCAGGATGGAATGAGAGGAAGAGTTGAGTGTCATCAGCATAGCAGTGATATGAAAAGCTATGTTTCTGAATGACAGAACCTAGTGATGCCATGTAGACAGAGAAGATAAGTGGTCCAAGAACTGAGCCCTGAGGCACCCCAGTAGCTACAGTAGATGTTGCGACTAGGACACCTCACCTCTCCAAGATACCTTGAAGGACCTATCTGAGAGGTAAGACTCAAATTACTGGAGTGCAGTTCCTGAGATGCCATTTTCCAATAGGGTTGACAGGAGTATCTGGTTCTAGTTCTCTAAAAGAGTTGGGTTAAGAGTGGGTTACTTAAGAAGTGGGGTTATACAAGCCCGTTTAAATGTTGAGGGAAAAACACCAGTGTGAAGGAATGCGTTAACGATGTGAGTGAGTGCAGGTACAACGATAGGAGAAATGGCTTGAAGGAGATTAGATGAAATAGGATCAAGCGGACAAATAGTAGGATGTGTATGACAGTTTGTGATGTGGAAAATTGTGCACTGAGGTTTGTAATTTTATTAATGAAGAATGTGGCAAAGTCGTCAGCTGTTAGAGTTGATGAAGGAGGGGGAAGACAAAGGAGGGAGGAAAATGTTTTAAAGAGCATGCGAGAGTTAGGCGTGTGGGTGCTTCTTTCTTTATTTCGCTCATGAAGAGCGCCATTAAACTCTAGTTTGCGTAGCACCCAGGGGCGCGGGAAGATGTTTTCGGTTGGGGGTGCTGTGTGTGTCCGTGTTGGGGGTTGGGGGCACTAGCGTCACGTGTTCATGAGGATTAGGCTAATCATCCCATATAGAAAACATCACAAGTAAAATTAATCATGTTTATAAAGATAAACATGGGTTTATTATAGCATTTAAATAAACAAAACTGGACACACATAGTTTCTGACGTGTGCTTCTTTCTTTCTTCCGCTCGTGAAGAGCGCCATTAAACTCTATTTTGCGTAGCACCGTGAAACTACACAAAGAAACAACAAAACCAATAAATACAACTCATATACAGAATAATATGATAAATAAAGTTCACATTTACAGAGAAACAGATGAAAAATAAACGAAGAAATTAATAAAGACAGTTTGAAACAACTAATTAACAAGCAGAGCTCACGATTAACATATACATACAAACGAGCTCATATGACTTTTAAATTAACTACAAAATGTAACATACGTCATCTTTACATACCTCGCTCCGCTTTACCAAAGGGTACTAGGTTGAAATTGAGCAGAATCAAGGCACCGTTCACCGTAAAACTCAATTTTATCTTCATGCACTGTGGAGGAACATGAATCTTCACTCTTTTCTCTGCTGATCTGACTATTTTGCGTTAACCTTCCACTGCGTAAAGCACGTAACATGCTCAGAACAAATTTAAAGTGACACGACCATTTTGCGGTCATTTACACTCCCACCAATCATGGTATGATGAATCAACAGAACAAACTGAAAATGAATCAGAACATGATTTTGAACCTTAATATGACCGCCTTTCAGTTTCATGAATGTAGGTAATGACTAGAAAGCATTTCAGAAATAATTACTTGGTCTGATATGAGGGTATCACCCAAGCCATTAACAGTCACTCTTCTTCAAGAAGCACCACCAATTTCTGGATGGGCCTTTCAATGATTGTGGGCTTGGAAGGTTGATCACGTTTGCTAGTGAGTTTTCGTTCTCCTACTTGTACCTTCACTCGCCTAACAAATCCATCACTCTCTTTGACAGTTTCAGCCACTCTGCCTAACTGCCATTGACTTCTTGGGAGCATATCCTCTTTGATGATTACGACATCATTTACTCTGAGGTTTCAGCGAGGAGTAGGCCCCTTTTGACGCGTTGAAATGTTAAGAAGATACTCCTTTTTCCAACGACTCCAAAACTGCTCAACCAAGTATTGGACTCTACGCCATCGTTTCGTAGCGTACATGTCTTCTTTGACAAATTTTCCTGGAGGTGGAAGTGCAACATCGGATTTCATTAGTATTAAATGGTTTGGAGTTAGAGGTTCGAGTGAATTTGGATCATTAATGCCATCTACCGTTAGCGGATGACTATTAACTATAGCCATTGCTTCATAGAACAACGTTCTAAGTGAAGCATCGTCAAGCCTGCCTGGGCACTGAGCAAGTGTGGCATTGAGTACATTTCGAACAGTTCGTATTTGACGCTCCCAGATGCCTCCAGCGTGGCTTGCAGAAGGAGCATTAAAGACAAATTCACATTGTTTCTCAGAGAGAAAGACTTCCAGAGCTTTGGTGTCAACTTGTTTCAGTGATTCTTTGAATTCATTCCTGGCTCCCACAAAGTTGGTACCGTGGTCACACTGAAGTTTACAAACTGCTCCTCTAAGACTGATAAAGCACCTCAAGGCATTAATGAAGGCATCCGTAGACAAATCTTCAATCATCTCAATATGAACTGCGCGAGATGATAGACAGGTGAATATTAGGCCGTATCTCTTGTACTCCTTGCGAGCTCTTTTTATGACAAATGGCCCAAAACAGTCCATGCCGCAGAATGTGAAGGGTGCAGATACTTCAACACGCTCTTTGGGAAGTTCTGCCATTCGTTGTTCTTCTGTCGGTCGTCTAAGTTTTCGACATTGCACACACTTGTGTATCAGCTTGGCGATTGACTTGCTGCCTCCAATGATCCAAAATCCATTCATTCTAAGCTCCATTTGAGTTTGATTTCGACCCTGATGACAAACCTTGGCGTGGTAATGTGACAGAATTAGCTTAGTGATGTAACTATCTTTTGGGAGAATCACGGGATGTTTTAGTTCTTGACTGAGTGATGACTTTCTCAGTCTTCCACCTACACGAAGAAGACCTTTGTCCAAAATGGGATCTAGGTAGTACAACGCACTAGCACTTGGAAAAGTGTTCCCCTTCTCGGTCATTCTTATTTCTTTGGAGAATGCTTCCTGCTGGACAAGTTTGATCACCACTTCAGCAGCCCTCTGACGCTCCTCAACAGTCACATGATCACTGGGGTATTTCTGTTTTGATCCTAGTCTTTTTATCCTTGCAACAACCTTTAAAAGCATTGACCAAGAAGAAAATCGACTGAAACGACTGAGAATGTCTGTACTGTTATTGACCGTGGTTGCGAATGTTTGGACTGATTTAACTTCAGGGTCACCAACAAGCAGGTTGACAGAGGTGTACGGTGTTGGACTTACTTTTTGTTCCCACAGAAATT